TAAAGTTATTATTAATTTTAATAATATTATCATCAGCCTCCGGGGTTGTCGGGTTCGCGGGTTTTCGGTTTTGATGATTGCCTGTGTTGTAATTTGTCGACCGACCACAATTAATCACTCAATAGCACCTGTAAGAGAAAAGCAAGAAGAAATAATTTATTTATAATGATGTTACCTTTGCAGCCATAAACTGAAATGATTACATTGATCAGTAGATTCACACTGGTAACATTTGATATTACCATTCCTCACTTGCCGATTAATTAATCTCTGTTTTCTGTTGTGCTTTTACAAAAATAATAAATTTATTTATTAGATAAATCTTTGATTATCATCATTTAAGGGATCCACATTTTACTAACCTTGATTCTAGGTGGATCCTTTCCTTTCCACCATTTCCGATTAAAACATGCATATTTAACTTACGGTATCTCTTTTTGTTTTGTAATTAAATTAATTAATTGTAAAATGCATCAAATCAAGGCACATTGATTTATGTGATTTTCCCCCCTGTTTGTATTAATTGTTGTTTGGGATATGAACAATAAAACGGAACTGAATCTGAAGCTAAAACCAATTTTATGACTTCTACATCATCAAGAAATCAGATAGATCAGTGAAATTTTGAGATCCCTCTAAAAAAGAACCAAAGTGCTAACGTCGAATTCACAGCTCGTCCAGGTTACTGGTTCTAAACAACTGAGCCTGCGCACGAGGTTCACCGCAGAAGCATTCAAGCAACGGGACGGAGCAGGGCAAATTCAGTGTTTGGGCGATTAACACATCCACCATTGTTTGGCACAAACTTGTTAGGAACCAGCAACATTGACTTCTTGGCCAGTATGACTGCAATATTTGGTACTCTTAAAACAAAAATGAAAATCTAGATACACAAACCAATTGACATTTGCTTGGATTTTTAAAGCGCCTTTTCGAGGGGATACTGTCCTTCGTCGAAAGAAAACTAATTATTGTAGAAGTACGTTTACAGATGCTTTCTGTAGAAGTGAAACGAAGTTAAATTCCCAGGGACGGATCCAGGGGGTGGAGGGGGGGGGGGGAGGGGGGAGGGGGGCACTGAGCGAATTTGCGGCAGGCGCGATTTTCAAATTTTCGGGAGCAAAACAAATTATTTATATGTCCTCTTACCCCTCTTACTCCTCTTACCCCTCAATGGGTCGGTACTTTATAAATGAATCATATGATAACGTGGTCGCTAGCATTGGCGAAACGAAGAGAACCGACGAAAACAAAGAACGACACCGTCTTATAACCGTTTGCAAAGGCTTACGACCGTTTTGCAAACGCCTGCAACTGTTTTGCAAACGATCACAAACTGTTTGGGGCGGAAAAATAAATATGCAAAGAACTTTTGAACATGTTCAAAATTTCTTTGCTACGAGAAAAAATGTTTACGACAATGAAAACTGTTTGTGAACTTTCTTGCAACCATTTTAGGAATCCTGACGAAACCCCAAATTCGCTTCGTTCGCACGCATTCGCCGCTCAGTGAAGCAGCTAGTTAAGGGACAATAATGCTACAGCTGACCTGAGATGGCGCTAGAGGGGATTTGGAAGTGCTTCTAGTATAATACGGATTAAAAAAATTGAAAGAAGTATGCTGTTTAGTATTCTCTCAAAAGATGAAGGCAAGTGTGGTTCGTTTTACAATATTTTACTCACTTCTTTTAGCACCATCCTGGGTGATAGATAACGCAATCTGAAAGAAAATGTAAATTAATAAATAGCAATATTATTAATAATAATAATAATAATGATAATTATAATAATAATCATAAGTACATGAATGATAATAATGATGAAAGTAATAATATTAATAACCATCGCGGTTTCTCGTATAGAATTCATATATGTCAGCTTTGACACTCGTGGCACTCCACACTGTCGATTATTATGCCGGCTTCAGCATAACTGCAAGTATGGTGCTCTAGCATTTAAACCAATAAAGACCTGTCAGGTTATCATTAAATTCATTTGGGTCGAGTGTGGCAAATGGAGAATAATATCTTTCTAAAGGAATGTTAGTATTGAAATCATTTTTCTTGAATCAAACAAATATCAGAAAATACAACTACATCGTCCTTTCACTTTCATATCAATTCGTTTGATTCCTTTAAAAAAAATATATATATGCAAGATATAGAATATTTAAATGAATTAAAAAAAAACTAAACAAATATAGTGGTGGTTATTATACGTGACAGCTAAGAAAGCAATAAATGCTTGATAGGAAGCAACCAGACGACCATCGGCTTTAGATCCTCTCCTAGGGACCTGTTAATGAGGATTAATGCCTTACCAAAGGGGAATAGCGCATCGACTTGGTTTCGAACCCGGGTCACCGGATTAAGAGACCACTGCTCAACCGACTGAGCTATCGTGCCTCCTTAATAACAAAAAATATTGTGAGAAATTCATAATAAAAGCGTCTGCCCCTTGCAAAACCGATTCTGAAGTACACGTCGAGTATGAGTAGACCCCACCCTCATTGCAATACCTGTAGCTTATTTCAGATCTCCCACACCCCTGTGTTATGTATATAGAACAACAGATTAGACATGCCAGCTGCAATGCATACCAATGTAATACACATGCCAATGTAACATACATGCCAATGTAATATACATACCAGCCAGTGCAATAGGACAATAGATGGATGCCTGAATAGCATACCATTACCATTATAGGAAGAATGTCACTGCTTTGAACTTTCAAGCCACTTCACTACCAGCAGCCAAGTAGAAAGGACACTCCCTTAACTCTCAGGTAAAGCACACATGTTATAGCGTATCAGAGATACAACAGTGGCGACGAGGATGGGATGCCAATTTCATAATGATTCCATCGTCCTACTTGTTTTTTCCTCTGTATGCACGTACCATGACACGCTGACCAGGTAAAAACTGACGAATACTGGTACGCCCTCTGTCGTGCGTTCTCTCGGCAGCAGCCTGCTTCTGTTCGACTGTTCCAGCCAAGGAAAGTTTAATGAGATCCATGCGGTACGTGGTTGTCTCTTCAACAGTAATTCCGCTGGTGTGCGTCCAGTTAGGGAATGTGGAGTGTTGCGATAAGTGAAGAGAAAGTTGGCAACCTGATGTTGAGTAGTCAAACCACTCTCCTTGTATGCCTTCAGATTCTGCTTCAAGGTTTGAACGCAACGTTCAGCAGCTCCATTAGAAGAAGGATGGTAAGGTGGAACTCGAATGTGATTCACCCCATTCTTCTTGAAGAACTCAGCGAGCTGTGCGGAAATGAATTGCGGTCCATTGTCTGATACAAAGTGCTCAGGAAGTCCATGGGTAGCAAATATGTGCCATAGTACATCCACCATAGCACGAGTTGTTGTAGTTCTCATTGGATAGACTTCCATCCATAAGAAGTAAACATCAACTAGTAAGAAGAAATGCTGGCCATCTAGCTCTGCAAAATATGCATGAACTCGCTCTCAAACTCTTGAAGGCCATTTCCATCAATGAAGCGGCGCTTCCGCGGGTTGACTCCTCATATTGAGACACGTGTGACAATTCCTTGCCAGAATTCAATGTTCTTGTCCAAATTAGGCCACCAGAAGAAACTTCTAACCAAGCTCTTCATACGACTCATACCGATGTGACCCTCATGTATTTCTGTCAGCATCTTGGTCTGCAGACAATGTGGTATGTTGACTCGAAGTCCCCCTATTAAGCCATCTTGATCCACTGAAAGCTCATGTCGGCGATGAAAATATGGTTTAAAGAGAAGGTTGAGTTCTGGTAAGAGGTGAAAAATAATTTGTGAGCGTTACTCATTCTTATTATGCAAGTGTGGAAGAACATCAGATAAGACATGTTCCCTGAAAAGCATGGCTCTTCAAATGCCTTCATATTCTAAATATGCATGTAACATCGCAAAAATCGGGGGGGGGGGGGCGGCCTATTACGCCACGTGTTCGTGTAGTCCCATATACATTTTTCCGTGTACAGTGTTTGTAACTTTACCAAGACTTGGCCAAATTTCTTATTATTTTGATGATTCCAGAACCTTGCAATACACACAAATTCTTATATGCTAGATGATCACAATGCAATCGCATGACCAGAACTCAACTTCATCTTTAAGACCACCATCATCCACTGAGCTGGGCCATCCTCTTTGTGTATACTGCAACATTTGTGATAGAACTGGGTCCTTAGCTGTAGCAGTAGCAATCTTTTGTGATGTCAGTGGCAACTCATCTAGATGAGTGTAATGAAAAGTGCTCTCTTCTTCATCCCTAGGATGATTCACCTGCATAGGAAGTCCAGACAGGCCATCTGCATTCATATGCTGTGCACCGCTCTTGTACTTGATATCACAGCTGTATGCAGACAAGATTAAGGCCCAGCGCTGCATCCTAACTGCTGCTATCGTCGGAACTCCAGACTTCGGGCCTAATATGGTAACAAGTGGCCTGTGATCCGTCATCGGTATAAACTGACGTCCATATAGATGTAAGGGTGAAACTTTTTCACTCCAAAGATGAGGGCCAAAGCTTCCTTGTCTAGCTGTGCATAATTTCTCTCACTGCTGGTTAGAGTGCGTGAAACAAACGCAACCGGTCGCTCTTCTCCATTAGACATGACGTGTGAAAAAACAGCCCCAACGCCATTTGGTGAAGCATCGCAAGCAAGGCAAGGGGAAGACTTACATCATAAGGAGCTTGTTATCGATGAGGACAGGGGCAACACCCTCCATCAACTTGTAAGTACAAGTCGTACAAATGCAATAACTGTGGAAAGGTTGGACACTTATAGCAGCTGTATGTAAGAGTTGTTTTGATTATAAGAATTTTGTGTAATAACTCTCTAAACTTAATGGCCCGAATTCACAAAGCAAGGTTTGAGCTCAGACCAAGGTTTATGTACGTCATATGACGCGTTTCAGGTTTGAGTTCAGACCTTGGTCTGAAATACATTTCACAAAGCCGGTTTGTCCTCAGACCAAGGTTTATGTACGTCATATGACGCGTTTCAGGTTTGAGTTCAGACCTTGGTCTGAAATTACATTTCACAAAGCAAGGTTTGTCCTCAGACCAGGTTTATGTACGTCATCAGACCCGAAATTTACAGACTGCTCAGATAGGAGGTTTGTAATTTCTCAAACCTGGTTTGAGAGCTCTCAACCAATCAGGATGCAGCACTGGGTGGAGATAATTTATGCTCGATTGATTTTATCCAAATAATTCACCGCCAAAACAATCTGCGATAGTATCTGGTCAGCCCGATTTTAGTGCAATCGAAATCTCTCAATCTCTCGATCCTTTCCTTAAAATCGTAAGTATAAAACCTGTACATGTAGTCGAATTCATACTCTTCACGTTACTGACATTTCACTATTTGATATGCTTTATAACTTTCTATTTTCCATGAAATGTTCGGTGTTTTCATATCCGACGGCCTCTCAATTCCAGAGTTCAGGGACTGAGTCTGGGGGAGCTCGAGTCCAACGCCCAAGGCGGCGGCGGAGCTCGCACCCTCTGACCCTGGGCTGGAGTTGGGCCTAGCCGGGCCGGGCCTACAGTAGATATCTGAGTATGACTGTCATGTTTAATTTTGTCTTGTTGTCAGCAATGCCATGACACATGCCAATTAGACTAGGCCTAGACCTACACTAGTTATTGCAAATTCATGATAATGATAATAATACCAGGCTCTAGCTTAGGCCTGGCAATGATGTCCATCACTTGACTTGGACACTGGTACCTAAATTGAAGTGGCATCAGCAATGCCAATGTTCCCCAAAATGAATCACACTGACAAGCATAGACCAAAAGATTCAGTCTCTCTATATTGCCAGTTGTTCACTGAGAATACGTCTGGCTCCATACTAGACCTCCGATTAGATCTATAGAATGTCAACAAATGTCAGTTTTATTATTTTTATTAAAGAAATGACCCATATCAGACGGTTATTTCTGTTTATGAGTCATGACAAGCAAAGCTTTTATTAAATTTAGATCTGGTTCTAATTGTCTTAATTAACTGGCTTAGTCTCCAGATCGAGCCAGGATCACCCACAAAGTAACAAGCTTGTTTAAACATTTGTTTCATTTTATCTTCACTCTAGTAAAGATGGTAGAAATGCAGCTGATTCAGCATAATGAGCTGGTGTACCTGGATGAGGAGCTGGAGCAATATATAGCAGCACAACTGGGCAGAGGCCTCTGAGATTGGGAAAACCCGCTGGATGATGAGCCTTTTGTTTTAGATTGAGGTACTTTGAATTCAAATTCTGTATTGGGAAAGTTGCCAAACTACTTGATGAATATTGTTAACATAGCTATAAAAAAGGGCTTCTGTTGTAAAATCCAACCCTAGTGTCGTTATTAAAATCCAGAAATATTTCAATTCATGTTGACCGCCTAAATTCACTGTTCGTTTGCCCCGCTCCGCTGGTCTGCCTACGACCGTGCAAGCCCCTAATGCCATGCACATGTGCGTTTACATAAATTTATTCTATTTCTAAGCATTTTCTGTCATATTCCATACATTGAAAGATTAGTTATGATATTTATTCTTTTACATGGTAGGTGATGAAAGCATTAATTTTGATAATTTGTGTGTGGGGCATTTCCCAATACTGTTATTTGGCTTTAATACATGAGGAAATTATTCAGATTATGTGTTGGAAACAAGTTTGTGATTTGTTGCTTAAATTTCACAAAAGCGCTGTGAAGGAGATTAGAAAAGGCATAGACAATTTTGTCTTTTACGTTAAATTGATTCACACCACATCTAGAAATCAGGAATTTTTTTTTTAAGTGACAGTGACGGTTGGGGATGTAAAAATATAATAGCATAAACCAGCAAAAAAATGATTTATTTGAATGCTTGTTTTTTAATTTTTTTTAAAAAGGTAATTCGATCTAAAGGATGCACCGTGAGGAGGCGGCATGCCGTGTCATATTCATCTGTTTGCCGAATGGAGAGTAGTGAGGGATGTTTCCGAAGCTGTTGTCAGAAGAAAGGGACAAGTCATGAAGTTTCCTACAAGTACAAGTTACAACAAGGCAAAAAGTGACTACTATTCAGAAGCAGTTTTTCCAGTACTGCAGATTTCCAGGAGTTGCTGTTGATGGGACACATGTTTACATCAGGAGCCCTGGTGGGGCAAGAGCCAGGTACTACTTCAATAGGAAGAACAGGTACTCCTCCGATGTTCAGGTGAGAATAAATGAATACATCATGACTGGATCCAGCACGGCTTTCCCTTTAGACCTTTTTTTTGTACCTTGCAAAATGTTCACATTAGATATATACACTCTCCAGTCTTGTGTGTTGTACGTCCATGCAAATTCATTGGTGACCAATGCAAGATTTCTAGTGGCCAAATGGATATTAAAGTAATATTCGCGTAGAGGTACTCATTTCACTGCCTTTGTACACAGTTAAGAATATCCAATGGATAGTTAAACTTAAAAATCCTAACACTAGTTAATATCTTTTTAACGAAAGGGAAATTTGAAAAATCAAAACTTGTTCCATCCTTCTATTGGCAATACGGATATGACCTCTAGATTTCTGATATTTTGTTGATGGCCATGGCAATTGGGCCACTGTTTTTGCCATTGATCAATGAAAGAAAAAACAACAAAGAGAAGCATGTAAATTGATCAATGGCAATTACCACTATATATTTTAAACTATAGAAAAACAAACAGGTTCATTTCCAATAAAAAGATGCGAGAGTGGGTATCCCCCCCCCCCCCCCCCCCCCCCACACACACAAAGCATTTGTTGTTTTAGGCTCGAAATGTTTTGTTTAAAGTGAGATTATTTTTGTTTACATTGTTACAAGATAAACAATGAAAACATGAGTTAAAAATGAAGAAATACTTCATCAGTCAATAAATATAGGGTAATTAGCATTTTCTTCCAATTTTTGTTGTATAAATAGATATTGAAAAGCAATTAGCACATATTCAACTGCATTTGCATTAATTACCATAAATAACAAGTGCCTATCTGAAGTGTGAAATGAGTGAGTTTTCATAACTAATGAATGCCAACATGTTATTTCATATTGACAGGTTGTCTGTGATTATGCTGGGAAAATAACTAGTATCGTTGCAAGGTGGCCTGGACTGGTAGCAGCCACGATGCCAGGATCTTTTCTGAGTGTGCACTGAATTGACAGCTTCGTGCTAGGGCATATGAAACAGTTGATTCTTGGAGATAGACTATAGGGTAGGTAGATTATTTCTTTATATGAAAACATTTGTTTATTCTTTTTTCTTAATCAATCTTGTTTCCTTTTTTGTATTTGGCCAACATGTGACATGTTAGGAATGTTCATTTGGTAATATAGTAACAACTCGCATTAAGTAATTGATACAAACGAGCTCATGTGCTTTTAAATTTCAGTTCACAAATCACAATTAATGTTTTTGATATCTGGATGCAACTTGATTAGTTTGTTGTCAAGTGGAACCTCATATTTTTTGTATTAGTGACACAGGATTGAATAATTCCTGATTATGTGTACAATACATTGTATCCTTTCTATAGTATTACCCCCCCCCCCACCCCCCTCCAAGAAAAAAAATGAACAAGTTGAAATTAAGAATATTGTTTATGATATTGTTTATTTTGTCCATTCAATTTTGCAGGTATCCATGCCTTCCCTGCCTCATCAGAAGCCATTTCTTCATTCAGAGGGTCGACCACAGATGTGCTTTCAAGGCCATCTGTACTAGTTCAGCAAAAGAGGATTAGACAACCCAGCGAGGTCACTGACAGGAGGCTATCTCATCAATTCAGTTCTCAATTAACATAAGAAAAAGAGGATCATGGGGGATTAACAGGCACAGATTGGGGAAGTTTTCTATATAGAGGGAGCAAGTAGCTACAAGTAGTACAGTGGGGCTTTAACACTTCACACACAAAAAAGGGAGATGTGTGAGTGAGCGCATATTTATTAAATGCAAGGATGAGGACGTTCCATGCCTCATCAATCTAAGAGAGAAGGTCGACACTTCTTAATTATTTTTATGCTTTCCTGTTGCCCATATTGGGAAAATTCACGTTGTGCAAATATAGCATTGGTTTGGCCAAGTATAGCCTAAAACAGCTAACACTGGAGCTTACTAACAAGCATTTATTGCTTTCTTAGCTGTCAAGTAAAATAACCATCACTATCTATCTATTTAGGGGAGCCTTCCAAAGTTGCGACTGTGTCGCGACGCGTCGGGGCGCAGAGCAGGATATGAGAACAAAGGAGGCGCCTTTATGCGCCCATTAGCGCCTTTTTGCGTCGGATAGGAGAGGACTTCAGTTGGTTGCCAGCTCATTAAAATCTGGCTATTGTTTGGAGTCTCATTGTTACGAAATTACCCCGCCGGGGCGCGCCCCTGTGAAGCACTTGACATTTGTGAATGGGAGCTTAAACTTTGAATAGCTTTCGCGCCCTTTCGCGCCCGGTCCGGCGCATTAGTTATTCATGTAGTGCCCGCTTGTGTGTCGCTCTCGTCTTGCGAGATTTGACTCTGAAAAGCATTACTTTGGCTACTGATTTGTTTTAATATTATTTTACGTACATGACATTGGTTACAATGTTTGTTCTGATTGTTTATTTTCCTCTCGAAATCGGAGTTCTGTAGGCGTTAACGTTGGCATGATTGTTCATTTTTTCATCTCCTCCTGTTCTGTTCATGATTGTGTTCAATATACTGTATCAATTTTAATACAAATTGATTTGTTCACGAAAAAAACAAATTTATTTTTATACTTACCCCACTCTCTCTGACATTGTTTTCCTCGTGCATGTTTTGACACTTTAATTGTAATTTTATATTTCCTTATAGCGATGTTATCGCATGTTTCGATTTTCTTGTTTTTTTTAAAACAATTTTTGTTGCATCTTGTAAACAGTTCTGTCGTATGATCATTATAAATCATATAATTATATCATCAGTTAGTTATTTCAATACATAGATCCTTTGAATCTTCTTAAAATTAGAGAACGTATTTTAAAATCCGTGATGTTGAAAATGATACTTAATCAAGAATGTCATAGTTTCTCCTTGAATTGGATTTAAAAAGCGTTTTATCTGTATTACGATTTTTTTTAATGCAAATGATATCCGTATTGTCGGGAACATCATCAATATGTTTCGTTAGAAGGAAGACGCTCATTTTCAGAATGTTCTTTCTTTGCAAAACACTAATGTTACGAAGAAAATTAAATACACTGTACCCGTATCATCGGGGATATCGCAAAACTCCCAGGGAGATTATCAATTGCAAATCAACATAGTAAATTATGCCTAAATCGTAAGAATAGAGCATGCATTAAAAAAAAAGAGAGTTACCAGGAAATGATGTTTGAAATTTCACCCCAAACATATCTCAAGAAGAAATTAGTTTATCATTCTGTGTCAAAGAATTTTATCGAATATTTCTTTGCGACGAAGCCAGTTTTAGATCTAGGTCATTGTTAAGAATAACTAAAATACGTATATATAGTGCTAAATAGGGGCCACGTGTTATCGAAAGAGCGTAGTGCGTTCTAGAACATATACAAGCCATGGCAATTCGTTGAATTGCTTCTCGTAACAGAACTGTCTCACTGTCTAAATAAGGATCCATCCGGGGGATCCATCATGCACGTGTTGGTATCAAGTAGTAAACGGAATTAATAATGATTGCGTTGTTTTGGGGGGGGGGCAGGGTCGCCCTTATTCTTCTTCTACTGGGTCATCAAGAAACACAAATAGTGTTGAAATTTTCCGCAATCCCTTTAGCGCCGAGGGTAGAAAAGCCTTTAGAAAAGTCAGCTGGACAATAGCAATTTAATGTTGGTCAAACAATCAGCGAGAAATACTGGGCAAACAGATATTAGCCTACGTCTTCAATATAACCAGGGAATCCCGATATAACTAAGCACATGCTCACAATATGAATATCAAATCTGGCTATTGTTTGTAGACTCATTGTTACTGTCTGGTAAAGGGGTACTTTTCACGCACCAAAGTCCGGCTCGTCTAGTACACACAAATCCGGCCCGTATTGACTTTACACACCGGACTTAGGGGACTGTTTTCAAAAGGAGGGAAAATGCATATGCGTACCCTACATAACACTCATTCGGGGTGGGGGGGGGGGGGGGGGGGGAGGGGTGAAGCGCTTTTTGTGAATTGTGAATTTGTGAATTTGAAAAGCTTTCGCGCCCGTTCCTACGCATTAGTTATTCATGTAATCCCCGCGTGTGTGTCCGCTCTCGTCTTGAAAGATTTGACTCTAAAATTTTCACTTTGGCTACTGATATGTTTTATTATTATTTTACGTACAAGACATTGATTTAGATTGTTGTTCTGATTGTTATTTTCCTCCCAAATATCGAAGTTGTGTAGGCGTTGACGTTGTTATGATTGTTCATTTCTGTTCATTAATGTGTTCACTACTTGTATTATATTAATTTCTTCACGAACAAAACAAAAACGATATGTATAATTGTATTCCTTCTGTATGTTTTGACACATTATTTGTTTCATATTACATTTATTTTGTTCTGTCATCCGATCAAAATAGGTCATATATCTATATCATCACTCTGTTCTTTCTCATGCAAGATCGATTTAAAGAATAGAAACGTAGGCTCTCTAAATCTTCGCAAAATCAGCTATTGTATTTAAATACCCGTGATTTAAAAATGATACTTATAATCAAAGTGATTGAAAGATTCTGCTTGAAATAAGATTATAGGGCGTTTATAAATATGTCATACAAAACAAACAAACATCTGCAAATTAAAGATATTACACAAATGATAGTCGTATTGTCGGGAGCCTGCATCATCAAAACGTTTCGGTAGATTGAACAATTCGAAATCGCCTATCTGTTCCAAACATGAAATTCGATCGAATATTTCTTCGCGAAGAAACTTTATTGGTGGTGTCATTTGTCTTAACAATTTGTTATCTTCAATGTTCGTGACGTTTTGACGTTTCATATTTGTTAGCTAGCGCTAGTAAAGTCTTTTGTTTTAACGTGCACTGTATATAGTTATAAGGCCTGAACACGTCATGTTCACATTGGGTGTTATATAGCATACGGATATTATAGTACATGTAACTTTTAAAAGCACTTTGTTTTTGCAACGCAATGACAAAAGACAGCTCTTTGAGCAGCTAATAGTTGTTGCGCCCAATGTTCCGCTCATAGGCGGCTATTCCCAATTACCGGGCATTATTTGTTATTGTATCATTAGTTAAGTTTATTAATCTATTCATGTTTTCTATTTATTTATTTAGTTTTGGGGAGGGGGGATGTCGTATTACGAATTCATGACCCTTATACATACTGACCATGTTCTCAAATTAGGAATAGCGGTCTTCATGAATAGTTGTCCAATGAATTAGCGGTCCTTATAACTAGCGAGCGGAGCCCTCCTGATTGACCTCTGCCATTTTGGTCCGGCCGTTCACTTCGCCGCCCCCCTCTCTCACACACACACACACACACATATGTGTAGCTAAACAAGAATCTATAGCAAGTCGGACAATTATAGCGATCAAACAATAGTCGCGTGAAATCCTGCCACGGCATTCTATGTTTTTACCTTTAGAGCGAACTTTTCTTTTGTATTCGCTCCATAGAACTCTACTTTATCTTACAGCGAGGTGAAATGGAAAGAGCGTCATCATGAGTAGATCTATTGTTTGATGTTATCCTTCTTCTCCCTAGTTAAGCCAAACCTTCAATTTAGGCCTATCCATAAAAGGTAGCTTCCTGTACCGTTCGCTTTTTTTTCCTGACTGCTATATGAAGCATGTGTATGCTCTGAATTAGGCAAACAGGGGACCGGCGGGTTTAAGATCCTCTCCGAACGAAATGTAATGTTGAGTTATTCCTTACAATAGCATATCGACTTGGTTTCTAACCAGGGAGCTCCCGGTTACGAGCTGCTCTGCTCTACCACTGGGCTATAGCGCCTCCCTCCTTTTAAAAAGATCGTTTAAAATTTGCCGGTTTTTTTTTTTTAGAATAAGAATCAAAACATGTTTGGTATGTTTTTTGTATCTGTGCATTAAGATTTCAAAATTTCACTTTCGCCACTTAATTATAAAAATCTACGAATAAATGATTCGAATGTTGTGTCGAATGATTAATTATCATCATGAACTGATTAATGTTTTGTATTGCATTTCCAATTGCTGCTCAACTTTATCACCATCAGGCTACACTTTTTTGTTTACATCTTCATGACACACATGTTTTATAATCTCGATATAGTTCCCGGACTCTTTTTTCTATTTATTCCACTTTTAAAAAGAGCTATGGAATTATTATGATTTAAAACGCCTTTTGGACGGGCAATTTTCGAAGGCAAATCTCGGGCGTGAAATCCTGCCACGGCATTTTATGTTTTTTTTTCCTGAGGCCACTTAACAAAATATACATGTTTAGCGTCCCCGCCTGCTTCCTTTTTGGGGGCCGTCTCCTATTTTTTTATTTTTGGGGAAATAATATGAAAAACAATACTAAAATGGATCTATTACTGATTTTTTTTAAAAAGTTAAAAGATGTCGGCGGCCATTTTGAAAAATAGCCCGACTGTCAGGGAAAATGTACCGAGCGGCCATTTTGAGCGGCCATTTTGAAAGAAAAAGAAAAGAAAAGAGAGGGCCTCCTCCTTCCTAGTTCTCGAAAAAACAGGACACTAATAAAAAAAAACTTTTATTTGGCCTTAGAGCGAACTTTTCTTTTGTATTCGTTCCGTAAAACTCTACTTTATCAAACAGCGAGGTGAAATGAAAAGAGCGTCATCTTGAGTAAATCGTTTGTTTGATG